CATGGAGGAGGGTTGATGAGACGACGATGACAATTGTGAGCATGGTGATCGAGCAAGGGAAGGAGGGTGGACAGGGATGAAGTGAAAGGGACAGAAGAAGGGAGTCGACCAGGGTGGAAAAAGGAGGACGACATGAAAGGAGGGGGGGACGATGATGTGGAAGGAGAGGAGGGAAGAATGACTCGCTTGACGTTCGGAGAGAGAGTTCAGACATCTACTTTTTTCTCATTTCTTTGCCTACATATTTTGACAGCCATTTGCAACAAGTGATGCATTGTCAACAGCACATTTGTTCTCTCCTTGCCAACTTTTTTTTTTCTTTTCCTTTTTCTGTTCTGTCCATTGTGAAATGTTAAAATGGAATTGCTGTTTTCTGTGTCTTTCCCACCTCTCCATACACTGACATGCTCTTTGGTTTGCTCTCCGCGCCCCCTCCGTTCCAAAAGCCTACAAAAATTTGGCAACTGTCGGGGCATTTTGCACAGTTGGGCAGCGTCCGGTAGGGGTACATTGCAAAGATGGGGTCCCACTGATGGATGGGGTGTTTCACAAAATGTTTTTGTCATCGTCCTTCGCGGCAGCGTGCCTGTGGCAGGTCCACTTGTATTTACTTATTTTTTCAACTTTTGAAGAGTGCCGTAGGCAACCGATTGCATCACGATATCAGCTCATGACTTGTCGTGTCCAAAGCGATGGCCCGAAGAAGAGCCTCAGAAGCTACAAGCAAAGCAACTTTTCACTCAGCTTTGTGGCTCATAAAAGCACGTAGCGCTACACGGGAAGCTGGCTGGAACATTGTACAATAGTACACCATACATACATGTCTACAATTCAGCCACAAGGTAGGCACGGCATGAAGACTGGGGGTTACATGACGAATAGCAATTCTTAATTAAGAACATGTGCTACAGTGCTCTTGGTTGCTATGTGAGGAGCTACAGTGCCACAAGGTATGGGAAATTCCCTACCCTCCTCTTGAACACTACCCTCCCAAAAAGTGGCATTGCCTGCATCATGAGTCAACGATCAAGAGTTCAATCTCTGGCGTTCCACATTGTATCACGAGTACAATCTGACAAGATTGATAAGTTCTTTCTGCAGATCCGTTTTCAAAGCCAACCAGCTGGCAGCTCGAGAGCAGTGGGTGGGCCCCTAGTTATCTCCCCTTTCCATCGGAGTTTGGCATATATACAATATTATATATCTGTTCGAGTGACAGTTCGACGATATATAGACTTGCATGAAGCTGCACATCCAGTCAATACATTAAAGTAAGTCCAGTCTTGGAACTCAAGGCCCATAGACACATCGGACAGACTTTCGGACCACAGGCACTTGGTCCTTTTTGGCGCACCAGTAACCCTGGTATGGGGTGCCCTTCCACACTGCAGGATATCTGGCCAGATATATGGATGTCCAGGCACTTTCCTTTTTCACCCATAACTCGATTACACAAATAAGGCTCCCATGCCGGGCGTCCAACCTGCCTCTGGCTGCTTGGATGGCCCGGCCATGCCGAGCCCCAGGCAACGTCCTGGGCCAGGCCCCAGACAATGAAAGCAAAAAAAAAAAGGGAAAAGTAAACTACAATACACTTTAAGCCTGTGTTAAACTCCGGGCCGGGCCCGACGGCCCAGCCTCCGTCCGGCAGGGGTCCCGGGCGCCCCGGTCGGTTGGGTCCCCCGGTTTGACGCCGGGCGGGCCCAGCGCATTTTTGCGCAGGGGGGCCGGGAGGCCTTTTTCGATGTTTTTTCGCGCTTGGGAGCCTCCCTGCCCCCCCGCGCAAATTCTTCCACTGACTACACGTACGTCCGGGCGGCCTTCGAATTCGAACATCGTCGCTGCCCGTCGAAGAGGTTCCCGTAGCTGCCCGCCTTCGCTGAGGTGACCGTCGTCGATGCCCGTCGTCACTGCTCGGCACCGCTGCCCGTTTCCCAGCTCGTCGTCGCTGCCCGCCGTCGGAAAGCTGCCCCGTCGTCGTTGATACGGTACCGCGTCGCGAAGTGCCACGTGTCCTCTCTCTCTCTCTCTCTCTCTCTCTCTCTCTCTCTCTCCTCCTCCTTTGTCATCCTTTTTTTTTCTCCGTCGAGGTATCACGAAACCGGCAGGTCCTTCTCCTCCTCCTCCTCCTCCCTTCGTCTTCTTCTCTCCTCATGCTGCTTTCTGCTCCTCCTCCCTATTTCGTTGGTTTTCTTTATCGGGCTAAGT